AAGGTGGGATGTTTGATTTGGGTGGATCTGGGCTAACAGAATAGCAATAGCAGGAGGAAAGTATATACATATATATATATATAATATATATATATATATATATATATATATAATATATATATATATATATATATAATATATATATATATATACATATATATATATATATAATATATATATATATATCATATATATATATATATATATATATATATATATATATATATGTGTGTGTGTGTGTGTGGTGTGTGTGTGTGTGTGTGTGTGGTGTGTGTGTGTGTGTGTGTGTGTGGTGTGTGTGTGTGTGTGTGTGTATGTGTGTGTGTGTGTGTGTGCGGGTGTGGGTGGGTGTGGATGTTTTGTCTGCATCTCTCTCTCTCTCTCTTTTTCTTTATTCATATACCTGCCTATCTATCTATCTATCTATCTATCTATGTATATATGTATATATAGATAGATAGATAGATAGATAGAGAATGGGGATCATTTACTTTGAACATCAGTGTGTTATGCACCGTCGAAATTATATTTGATGCCGGAAAATTAATATAATTAAGAAGTCACCCATACAAGTATCACGTTTTCTATAAGAACAACGAAACGCTTTCGTTTTCTTTTAATTTAATAAGAGGATAGACTTTTTAATAAGTTAGTAATTTAATTAGGAATTGTGAATGTTACATGTATGGCAGAATGACGCAAGAAGATTAAATAAATATTTAGGCATTAGTATTTCTGATACTGTCGTGAACTTAAAAACGGAAAAGTTCTTGCAGTCTCTTACTCAGATCTGATAGAATTATTAATAGATTTTATTATCTTTAAATCTGTCTTTTTACTTTTATGTACCAAGTGTCTTAAAGTTTGGCGTACCTCCGGCGTGAGTTTTACACAGAATGCACCCTGGCCTGCAACATACTTCCTGCAATAATACTCCCTTCCCCCCTGCTTTTTCTCCTTTTTCTTTCTTTTCTTTTCTTTATTTACGTCTGGCAGGAGGTTCTGAGTACCTGAACAAGCGGCATGGGTGTTCCTCCTAAATACAGGGAAACAGAATAGAGAAAGACTCCTCGGGCGTTTGTGAGAAGTCCCATCCTGTTCAGCCAGTCTGAACTATCCATAACACGGTGATGAAGTTTTGTTTTTGTTTTTGTTTTTTTCTGTTCTCCTCTGTTCTGCCCTGTCCCGTCCTGTTCTGTTCTGTTCTCTTCTCTTCTCTTCTCTTCTCTTCTCTTCTCTTCTCTTCTCTTCTCTTCTCTTCTCTTCTCTTCTCTTCTCTTCTCTTCTCTTCTGTTATCTTCTCTTCTCTTCTCTTCTCTTCTTTTTCTCTTCTCTTCTCTTTTCTTTTCTCTTTTCTTTTCTCTTCTCTTCTCTTCTCGTCTCTTTTCTCTTCTCTTCTCTTCTCTTTTCACTTCTCTTCTCTTCTCTTCTCTTCTCTTCTTTTCTCTTCTTTTCTCTTCTCTTCCATTCCGTTCCGCTCTGTTCTGTTCTGTTGTTGCCGTTGTTTTTTTTTCCTTACTTTTCTTTTCTTTTCTTTTCTTTTCTTTTCTTTTCTCTTCTTTTCTCTTCTCTTCCGTTCCGTTCCGCTCTGTTCTGTTCTGTTCTGTTGTTGCCGTTGTTTTTTTCCTTTCTTTTCTGCAACAAATACAAAAAGATTTTTCGTATGTTTTGCAGTGCGTATTACCATTACTCTTTCTTTTCCGTTATTATTATGATTACGCCGTGGATATTCGTCCGGCACCGAATCTCATCACATTTTGGCTATTCGTCCGGCACGCATGCGCATTAACTATTAACACACACTCGCGCAATCATCAAAACAAACGTTGGCGCCAGTTTTTATGGTTTTGGATCTGGATTTTTGTGTAGGATACTTACATAAAGACTAAACTTAACAGTCTTGTAACTACAGTATGCTGATCTGCTATGTTGATATTTATCATTTTCTAAGCACATTCAAACAAGATTGTCCAGCAGAAATAAGACCTGACCTAACCTAACCACCTAACCTAACCTAACCACCTAACCTAACCTAACCTAATCACCTAAACCTGATCTATCCTAACCACCTAACCTAACCTAAGCACCTAACCTAACCTAACCACCTAACCTAGCCTAACCACCTAACCTAACAACCTAACCCAACCTAACCTAACCACCTAACCTTACCTAACCACCTAACCTAACCTAACCACCTAACCTAACCTAACCACCTAACCTAACCTAACCACCTAACCTAAACATAACCACCTAACCTAACCTAACCACCTAACCTAGCCCAACCACCTAACCTAACCTACCCTAACCTAAACCTAACCACCTAACCTAGCCTAACCACCTAACCTAACAACCTAACCACCTAACCTAACCTAATCACCTAACCTAACCTAACCACCTAACCTAACCTAACCACCTAACCTAACCTAACTACCTAAACCTAACCTAACCTAACCTAACCACCTAAGCTAACCTAACTACGTCAAACCTAACCTAACCATCTAAACCTTACCTAACCAATCCACCTAACCTAACCACCTAACCTAACCTAATCACCTAACCTAACCTAACCACCTAACCTAACCTAACCACCTAACCTAACCTAACCACTTAAACCTAACCTAACCTAACCACCTAAGCTAACCTAACTACGTCAAACCTAACCTAACCACCTAAACCTTACCTAACCAATCCACCTAACCTAACCACCTAACCTAGCCTAACCACCTAACCTAACCCAACCACTTAAACCTAATCTAACCTAACCTAACCTAACCATCTAAACCTAACCTAACCTAACCTAACCTAACCACCGAAACCTAACCTAACCACCTAACCTAACCTAACTACCTAACTTAACCTAACCTAACCACCTAGCCTAACCTAACCACCTAAATCTAACCTAACCTAACCTAACCACCTAAACCTAACCTAACCTAACCTAACCTAACCACCTAAACTTAACCTAACCACCTAAACCTTACCTAACCAATCCACCTAACCTAACCTAACCACCTAACCTAACCTAACCACCCAAACCTAACCTAACCACCTAACCTAACCCTAACCTCACCACCTAAACCTTACCTAACCAATCCACCTAACCTAACCTAACAACCTAACCACCTAACCTAGCCTAACCACCTAACCTAACCTAACCTAACCACTTAAATCTAATCTAACCTAACCACCTAACCTAACCTAACCACCTAACCTAGCCTAACCACCTAACCTAACCTAACCACCTAACCTAACTTAACCACCTAACCTAACCTAACCTAACCACCTAACCTAACCTAACCTCCTAAACCTAACCTAACCACCTAACCTAACCTACCTAACCTAAACACCTAAATCTAATCTAATCTAACCAACCAAACCTAACCTAACCTAACCTAACCTAACAACCCAACCCAACCCTCTGCTATCACCCACTATCTATCTCTGCTATCTCTGCTACTTATTTTCCACACGGGGACCTCCGAAAACAAACAAATTTGCCGAATAATGACAAGCTGGAGATTTTCAAACAGAAATTACATCCTGCAATATTGCTGGGAAAATAGCTCTACAGGATAGGTGTCCGACAGAAAATGCCGGAAAAATATCCCAACAGAGACGAGATACAACAACGAAACTCGCGCAAATAGTTAATACGCATGCGTGCCGGAAGAAGAGCCAAAATGTGATAAGATCCGGTGCCGGACGAATATCCATGGCGTTATTATTATTACTTTCACTTAAACTGCAAACATGTATTTCCCAGAAGAGAACGTTTTTTTCATTACTTGTTATCAGTTAAAACTTCTCAGTTCCCTGGCCAGAGGACGCAATCACCCTTGTTATCAAATGCGTGTAGTATTAGTTAAGGAAAATGTTCGAGGGTTACTGATATCTTTTTTTTTTTTTTTTTTTTTTTTTTTTTTTTTTGCTCCAAGGCCTATCTGACATTTAGTCATACATGTAAAATATATCAGTTTGTTGATATAATGAATTCTGGGTGCGGTGAACTTTTCAATCTCATAGAACACTGTGAATAACCGTGTTATCTGAATTTTAAATGAAGCTTGGTTCTTGCCTGACATGGGGATTTATGCATGAGTTTAAAAATAACTGTTTTTTTCTTTCTTTCTTTCTTCCTTTTCTTCTTCTTTTTGTTTGTATCTTTGTTTGGTAATACGAAATTTGATGTTTAAATCATTGTGTAGAATAATGAATTATCACCTTTATAATATTGTGTATTTACCTGCATCAGGTGTTGAGTGATTTATTTCAGTCGTCGAGGGAAAAAAATGTGGGTATAACTTTAATTTGACTTAAAATACGTGCAATTCGTGTGCCATGTTTAATATGTTATAATCAAAAATATATATTTCAACCATGAATGACCACTTTTCTTGGAAATAACTCAAACACCAAAACAAACAAGAATATGATTTAAGCGCATAGACCAGGCACATCACATAGTGTACAAAAACATCTGGTCTTATAAAATTACCACAAAAAAGGCCTATCTCTACCAGACTATTTCTAGTTACTTACAGTATATACTACTTATAGTAAATAGTCTTCCTGCACTACTCTTTTTCTTGACGTATTGTGTGTTTCTTTAGCAGGTCTTGCAATGAAATGCTGTCTGTTAAAGTATATTTTTATTTATTTATATACAAAGGATGGATGGATGCTTCATTATGCGATTCACGTACTTTTTTACATACTATTATAGAGAGATTTACAATCAATAGTACTTGAAAATAAGAAAGTTCAAGTTTACATGCATAGTATGTAGGCCTACATATTTCTTAACCAAAAGAAATTTGTTGTATGTGAATAAATGAACAGTGACTAACATATGTGATAAAAACATGAATATAATTAATATTAAATATACAATAATGATAACTAAAGAAGAAACTTAAGAAGAAAATAATAATGAATAAAGAAAAAAATAAAATAATTGAGAAAGAAACAAACCCCAAAAAAGGTAAATCTTAAACGAACAGTAACCTGAATATATTTTTATTATTATTATTACAAAAGGAAGAAAAAATACTATAAATATATACACATAGACTCCTTCTACTGCTCCTTGGCCTTGAGTGTGATGTGTATTCTTCTGCTGACGAGGATGAGGAGGACAGAAGACGCAGCTAGGATCTCGAGAAGCAGGAAGACCCCGTTCCACGAATAGGTTCTGGCGACCCAACTCAGCGGCCAGCCAGCGACCACAGCGCCCACTGGAGGAAGAGGAGGAGGCGGGTTAGTTGAGGGGGGAAGATGGGGAGGAAAATGGGAAATGGGGATGGGAAGGAAAATGGGAAATGGGGATGGGAAGGAAGATGGGAAAAGGGTATGGGGAGGAAGAGGGGAAATGCGGATGGGGGATGGGAAGGAAGATGGGAAATGGGGAAGGGAGGTGGGGAGGAAGATGGGAGATGGGGAGGAAAATGCGAAATGGGGATGGGGTATGGGGAAAAAGATTGGAAATGTGGATGGAAGCTGGGGAGGATGATGGGATATGGGGATGGAAGGTGGAGAGGAAAATGGAAAACGTGGATGGAAGGAGGAAAACGGACATGGGAGATAGGAAGAAAAAGGTGAAACGGAGATTAAAGAGATGAAGGACAACGAGAGACGGGAAGGGAACGCGAAAAACGGGGATGGAGGATTGAAGGGATGGAGGAAGGAAGGTATATGGAAAAGGAAGAAGAAAGGAAGGAATATGGAAAAGGAAGAAGAAAGGAAGGAATATGGAAAAGGAAAGTGAAAGGAAGGAAGATGGAAAAGGAAAGTAAAAAGGGGGAATAAGTGAAAATGAAGGAAAATGGGAAACGGGAAGATGGGAGAGAAGAAAATAAGAGAAAAGGCGGAGATGGAAAGAGAAGCAATGAGGATGGAAAAACGGCGAAGTAGAGGAATTAAGATAAGCTGCCAGGAAAAGGAAGAGAGAAAGGGAGAAGGGGATGAACAAGAGAAAGAAGAGAAGGAAAGAAGAAAGAGTGAGAGAGAAAAAAGGAAGACTGAAAAGGTAGAGAAAAAAGTTATATGACATGGGAAGAGGAAAGAAAGAAATAAAGTGGATAGAATAAAGGAGAACTGAGATTAGTTAATAAAGATAGAAAAGGGGGAGAAGAAGAAGGTGAAAAAGAGAAAGAGAAAGAAAGAAGGAGAGAGGAGAAAGGAAGAAAAGTGGAGGGGAAGGAAAAAAAGAGACTGACAGAAAGAGAGAGAGAGAAGGATTAACTGTAAAAAGAGAAAAAAAAGAGAAATGAGAGAAGAGAAAGAGGGAGAAGGAAGGAGGCAGAGAGAAAAAAGACTCCTTTTTCAGAATGTAAATTTGATTAATAAAATACTTCAGATTTACAGTCAGCAACTATACTGCAGGTGTACCGTATACAGAATCTGCCAGGTCGTATCTGAGTGACAGTTTTTGTCTCTGTTTGTGTGTGTGTGTGTGTGTGTAGGAAAGAGAGAGAGAAAGAGAGAGAGAGAGAGCGCGGAGAGAGAGAGAGAGAGAGAGAGAGAGAGAGAGAGAGAGAGAGAGAGAGAGAGAGAGAGGAGAGAGAGAGAGGGGGGGGAGGGGGAGAGAAAGAGAGAGAGAGAGAGAGAGAGAAAGAGAAAGAGAGAGAGGGAGAGAGAGAGAGAGAGAGAAAGAGAGAGAGAGAGAGAGAGAGAGAGAGAGAGAGAAAGAGCGAGCGAGAGAGAGAGAAAGAGAGAGAGAGATTACGTCTCCATCCACCTGTGCATATACATCCATACGTATACCACTGACATCTATAACTGTACGCATGCACATCCAAACACGCACATGTACATCCAGGTACATTCTCGCGTGCATTTCAGTCCTTACACTCACCATTGGCAGCGAGGGCCACCACGGCATGCGCAGTGCCAGACAGATGGGCGGGGAAGGATTCAGATGCCACAATGCCATAGATAGAAATCGGGCCAAACATGCTGGCCCCGAGCAACACACCCACGGCGGATACGAGGAGCTGAGTGTTGGAGAAAATAAAATAATTATATATCTCTTTATTCGCAATATAAACCCTGCTCTTAAATACATAATAATGTCTAAGCAAATTTTGTCACATATACTTTAATATTTGAATTTAAATGCACATGAAAGTACATTAAAAAATAAAAAACATTCCAGGTTTTTTTTCATTAGAATGTTAACGCCCTCAGCTATACTCGTTAAAGGATGCACGTTCTAAAATAATTGTAATAATAATAAACAAAGTAAATGAAATAAATATAACAGCGTATTGATTATATTGTTATACTTAAATGCACTAGTATAACAGATAAACGCCCAGTTCGATAACCCTAGGGTGACCGCGAATTTATTATCCGGCCAATTGTACATCAGAGTACAACAAATCGCGATAAAATAGAAAGAATGGATTTATATCTAAACGTGCTGCACGGAACACTAGAATATACCAAATCGCAATACAGTAGAAACAGGTTGAAATTGAATATCTAACGGCGCTATACGTTTACGACCAGAATATAACATACCTAAAAATAGAAAGACAGAATTGACAACTAACGAATCACGAAACAGAATGAAACATCTCTAACAATACTAGACGATATAATTCAATAAACACAATAAATCACAATAGAATAAATAACAATAAATCACAATTGAATAAATAACAATAAATCACAACAGAATAAACAACAATAAATTACAATAGAAGAAATAACAATAAATCACAAAAAATAAATAACAATAAATCACAATAGAAAAGATACTTAATAGTTGTATCTAAAAGATACTTAATTACACACAGACTTATATAACTACATACTGCGAGAAAGGTAACAAAAATCACTAGGAGAACTATAGATAACCACTAACCCTGGATAAAGAAATCATATACTTGTATGTACATGTAAATAAGAATATGTACCTATATAAAAATAAATCAAAATAAAAACAATAAATAACAATAAATCACAATAGAGCACAATAAATAACAATAAAGCACAATAAATAACAATAACTAACAAAAAAAGACAAAACGAAGGAAATCAAATCTGACCTGAGATGACTGCGGCGAGAGAAGATAGCACAGCAGGTGGAGGCCGACAGCGCAGGCGACCATGAACCCAGCCGCGACCATGAGCCTGACGTTCCCAACTATTCTCAGCTGTTCGCGTGGGAATTACAGTATGGTAAGTGAGGTAATAGTCGAATGGTGCAATGATGGTGGTGTTAATGGTGATCATGATGATGATAGTAGGATAGGAGGTGGATAATAGTAATGATAATTATTGAAATAAGAAACAGTGATGGTTGGTAAGTTGTTATAATG